AGACCCGTATAGATCCATGGGAGAGACCAGTGCAGAGACTCAGAGCGAACCCAGTAACCTCCTGCAGCAGCAGTATATATGCCGTTGTTCTGTGGCCCGTGGATAAAGAAATGCCCCCTATAAATAGGAAGGGGTCACTAATACACGGTAAGATTTCCAAGTATTTGATAAAGCGTTGGCACATTTCATTTCAAAATGAATTAAAAAGTAGGCCAGATCTGCAGTGAAAAAGGCGGTATATAAATAAAGATTACTAATAAAGATTACTACAAATAAATAAATACATACATCGATATGACGGAAATATCACTGGAATGTTGTATTTTTATTAAACTTCACCAAAGAGGACAACCCCGGCGTGTGAACATGTCGGCACTGAATGCGTACGAGTGCTCCTGAGGACTCGTAGGATTTGTACTTGCCCAAGAGAAATTCTGGTTACGAGAAAAATTCGTGAATGCCACTTTCTTCGTAAAAACCTCGTAAGTAGGATTTACGTACAAATCTGTTCCTAAGAACCGTTCGTGAATGAGGCCCAATGTCCTGCAGATAATATATATATGTCCACTTTGACTTGGTCCTCATGCCCATTACTTGAATCACCTAATTTGTCACTTAGACGACAGCTTGTCTGATTTGTTCATAATAGTCTTAATGTCAGCCCAATGTATTATTCATGAAAAAAATCTGATAAGAGTTGAAAACTATGCCTTATAAAGAGCAGCCACAAGTACAATAACTTCCAAGTGCAATCTATGAGACAACATAACAACCCAATACAAACATTGTATGAAATATATCACATCCAATGCCATTCAGTGGTGTAATAAAGTACAGTATAAGCTTTTCAAATATGTTAACCCAGCTTATTATGCTCAAACCTTTATAGACCTCACAGCATCACAGGGCTCGTAAATGCCACTGTCCAGCACAAATCGATTTTCTAAGAACTTAATTACTCCCCACACTCCACAAACCATGAACCACTTTCTCTGTTCAACAAATCACCCAACATCGCACCAAAAATGCTTTGTACGTAACTGAATTTCCCCATTCAATAAATATCTCCTGACATCTCACTGCATTTATCAACCCAGAAGCCAAACTCAGATGTGTCTCTCTATTTCTCTCTCTCTGTTCCTCTCAGCATGTGTCAGACCTCAAGTGTAATCAATTATTGACGGACCAATCAGAGAGCCACCTCCCTCGTTGCCATGATGACGCGGACAGGACGGCGACATTGCACATTCACAATATCACACAGGGGCTTTGACCTGACAGCAGCAGGGAGAGAGAGAAATCATTATTGAATTTAATGGTAATTGGTCATAACTCACCAAGCGATAATGTTTTTTATTAAATTACATTAGAGGAGCACAGGTCTGCTACTGGGATCAACAATAGTCATATTCCAATGTTCTGTGCTATTTTTATGGAAGCTTTATGATTCAATTATATTTTGCCGTGAGAAAATTACATTATAAATAGTAGCAGACAAAAAGAGCTAGAAGAGAAAAAAATAGGATTAAAAAGCCCTGTAGCAAGTTACATCAAACACATTAAGATTAATAAGAGATTCTTTATTCATTCTACAGTGGGGAAATGTCAGTGTTGCATCAACGGTTACAGAACAGAAGGAATGAGGAGCACATAATATAAATGAACAATAACTCTGTATAAAATATAATAACATCTCTAACTAAAGGATGAAAAATCTCTGGCTTTTGCATAATAAGGGAGCAAATCTAAAATCTCCAATTTTAGCATAATGAAGAAGCAATAATTAAGTACTAAATCTTTGGCAGAAAGAAGAAAGTATAAAATATCTAACTTTGGCATAATAAATAAGAAAGTATAAAATAGTGACCAAAGTGACCCTCTCAGGCAAGCTCCAGGTCAAAAAAAGAAAACGATGTTATGTTGATTTCTCTAGAGCGGGCATTGAGTCGGTGTTTCACGGATTCAAAGAATGAAAAAACTTGCTGTAAGATCTCAGGTGTGTCACTGTCCTGTCTGATTACTACAGACTAGTTTTGAGCTGTCAGCAGTGAGACAGGCTCGGAGCGTCATGAGAGATCCAACTCCTCCACGCCTAATACAAACTGATGCATTCTAGGAGGAGGTTCAGATAGCCCCGTGTAAAAGCACCAGGTTTAAAAATCTCTTATAAGCCTATAATGTTATTGAGACATTATAGGCTTATAATGTTATTGTGTTATAATGTTATTGAGATAATAATCAATAACATTAAGTGATTGTACAGATGTGTCAGGTTGTGATGGACCATGTTTATAGTCTTCTGTACTACTGACCCCATGCTCCAAAACACATTTCTTCCTTTCGGGATAAACAAAAAAATTCAATTGTCAGCTCAATCATTACAATGGGATATCCCGTTGTTTGAATGACCCATTACTTTCTGTAGCACGAGCAACATCATGTTCTAATGCACATAAATGAGCACTTCTATTTAGGGCTATCAACATATCCAGAGCGACGGAGGCCAACGGAGAACAATATTAGTGAAGGTAACAAAGCAACGCTGACCGCATGGGGGGGTGCCAAAAGAACCATTACACCTTGCGATATGTTGATTCAAACAGGCGTGTGACGATTGTTGCGTTCCTTGTCAAATTTTTGCATTTCTTTTAAAGTAGGCGCACAAAGAATAATGAGCCTTAATATGATCAAATGCATATTATAGTAAAATGGTTCAAAATTAGATTGTAAACTCAATTTGGCGAATGGGGAAAACAGTGTGAAAACTAGGCTTGGTATTATTACATCCCTTGTATTTCACTTTCTTCACAAAGACAAATGGCCTGCAGACTCAGCCAGTGTCACTTGTTTGTACACAGCCCTGTCCTTCATTAAACTCTCATTCGTCTCCTCCATCGCTACGGTCTCTGCTGCTTCATGTTTTATTCACTCTGGTCCTGAGGTGTGGAGGTGTGCGGAGGTGTCCTGTTTCCCTGCAGCGCTGGCAGAGGAGAGAGGGTGGCATCTTGGTTGGGTGGAGTTTATTGCTTACTCTGCGTTCCATGAAAAATAGTAGTTCTCAATCCCCCTATAGAACTGCATCTGCATGTGAACAAAATGGCTAATGCTAAACTGTAGGCGACCAGCAGCAGACATTTTAGGTTTAAACAGGGGTTAACCCATGGATCTATAGTAATAACTGGATAGGGTATTACCAGCTTATAGCTGAAGGACCCATGGGCACTGGGGGCAGACTAAATTCCGACAGCTTTGCACAGTTTCATTTGGACGGACAAAGAAGTAGAATTGCTCCTCCATGTTTGTTCTCAGCTACTGTGCTGTCCAAATGTACAGGGGTAAAGAATTGGTCCAGTTAAAATCTGCAAACCAGACAATACTACAGCTACGAACATCGAGAGAAGAATTTTTTTTTAGCATATAGCATAAAATCTTCAGTTAAATCAATATCACAGATGTGTTTTTTGTTTCTATTAGTAATTTACTCCTAATCATTTCATGACCAGAATACAACATCCATACACTAACAACAACACAAACAGAAGTGCACAATGCCTTCATTACTTCAAATACAGCTGTTATTCTAAAGGCTTCATTAAAATGTCACCTCCCTCCGGATGTGTCCTTGTTATTTGATGAACTTTAGATGCTGTGATGTTGCTGAAGACTTTATTTATATCTGAGAGCAGCAATAACAAAGAGAACTGCAGTAACCTGGGGCAACGGCGGAAGCTGAGGTGACAAATAATTACTGTGGTGTTAAACAAGTCGCACTGATGAATTTAATTACCACCACGAGGGTAAGAGTAAAGTTAATACAAGTTAATAGAATAGCGTAAATCCTCTATGGAATGCTAATAAAACATTCAGAATTTCACTCTGAACCAGAGCAGAGAAAATAGTCCGAACCGAGCAGACTCTACTTCATCAACCAGAGGATAGGAAGCAGCTCACCACCAGTGGCTGCAGCACCTCTACAGCTGTCACCTCATATAAAACTAAATTATTAGTGTATAAAATCACATTACAAATAATCACTGTTGTATCGAGTCTATTCTTTGGTATCAAAATCAAATTGAATCTTACACAAGCACAGAAATAAGTTGGTTATGCAGAGGCTTGAAATACTTGAAAATATTAATTTTTTAAGCTGATATAAAAATAAAACATATAAATTGTGCTTGATTCATGGATCATAAACCATTGTGAAATGAAATGAGAGAATTTAACTTTTAGTGAAATAGAATGTGGCAGCCATAGCTGAATAAATGTAACATTGTAAATGTTTTCACAAGTTGCATAATGCACTTAAAAAACATAACTGTGGAGAAAACGTCTCCACAGTTTTGAAAAGACTATTATTCACGTTTACAGAAACATGTGCAACTGAAATCTGTTATTAATAAAGATAAATGTTTTGTTCTCTCTGTTATAATTGATCCATTCTATCACCAGCGTTGTGTAAGCATAAAGTTGAAGTCATTTGACAAAAACAGCCCAATCCAAATAACTTTAAACAGGGTTAACAGGGTAAATATAGGGTTAAAACGTGCTTCTGTCTTGTGACCCGTGAAATCACCATCTCGACATCTCCAGTTCTAATAAAACTATGCAATAATGAGAGGATATTGTGAGAGCTTTCTCTGCCCTGGTCTGGGATGTTTCTTTCGCTTGAGGCATCAATAGGACGTTTTCCCTGTCTTCAGCAGCTCTGAGTTTGATGAATGGAACAAAGTGTAGAGAGGACAGAGTCTGGAGTCTGGTGGTGACAGGG